CCAGGGAATCAGTCCCCCACCTCAGGGCAGACACTCTCTAAACTAGCCCCCTCCACTGAGCTAAAGATGAGCATGCCTTCTTCAGCTGGTGGTCCCCAGACACTCACTTTACCCTGCTCCACCTTTCTTTATACATCTCTTTCCTGGCCCCACAGAGGCCCTAAGGTAAGGAATTCAGAGATCTGTTATTACCATATTTTGAAACAATGATTCTCAAAAGGAGGTTCAGAAAACTTTGCATTAGAATCACCAGCGGTATTAATTTAAAGCATTGTTTCCTGAGTCCCATCTCACACTTATTATGTCTGATTGAACTCAGGGGCGCTTAACCAGAGAGCCACATGCCAGCCCTATTTTGTATTTTATTTAGAGACAGGGTCTCACTGAGTTGCTTAGTGCCTCGCCTTTACTGAGTATGGCTTTGAACTCCAGTCTCAGCCTCCTTAGCCGCTGGGATTACAGGCGTGCCCCATTACACCTGCCCCAGTCCTTTTTACATTTTATTTTGAGACAGGATCTTGCTAAATTGCTTAGGGTCTCACTAAATTGCTAAAGCTGGCTTTGAACTCATGATCCTTCTGCCTCCGCCTCCTGAGCCACTGGGATTACAAGTTTGTGCCACCATGCCCGGCTCTATTATGTCTTTTGGGGTAGGGCCCCAGAACTTCCATTTTTAACAAGCTGAATCTATTCTAGCACATTGAAGTAACAATCATTGCTCAGAGTGACACACAATATGCTTTAGGCAAGTTCAGAGCAATCCAACTGGGTAGAAAGGTCTTAGGAATCATGTCATGTAAAGAATACTGTATTGGGATTGGGGTTGTGGCTCCAATGTAAAGCATATACTTCTGATCTATGCTTGAGGCCCTGGGTTCAATACCCAGCACTCTTCCTCTCAATCCCAACCCTTTCATCACCACCCAGCAACAACAAAAATTTTGTGTCAAAGGAAACTAAGATGTTTAAAGCTAGAAAAATAAAAGACTCGGTGGGCAGAAACCAAGATGCCACTTGTGCAAAAGGTCCTTTAAATTTATTCCATAAAGTTTTCAAAAGGTTAAGACAAAAATGTAAAAATTGGTGATCAGTTTTGTCTCTAAAGTAAGGAATAGATTTCCAACAATTTAAGCTCTTTAAAACTAGAATAAGGTTCTTGTGAATTAGTGAGTTCACCCATCTGAACAAGCAGATAATGAGTGACTTACGCCAGAAATGTTGAAAAGGGACTTTTACAACAGGCTAGGTGATCTCTATGTTCCTTTCTGTTGGGATAAACACTAATCAGTGCCTAGAAAGACTTGTTCTAAGCAGGTGAGATAAGAAGGACTCCAAGGAATGTGATAATGAAGAAAATTTATAAGGGAAACTGGCCACGTTCCTTGTCTCCAGTGTTTAGGGTGGGGGTCAAAGCAGAACCATCTTGGTTGTAAAGTAAAAGAAAATACTCGTAAAAAACTGAAGAAATCCATCTGCACAGTGGGCGTGCAACCTGTCTTATATTCTCCCCCTAATGTGGGCACGGGGCAGCCCTCCATATCATCCTGGCCTGCTGCCACTGAGGAGCACAAATATTAAAGTGTTCCAGCCTCTCCGCTGAGTTCCTCAGGTTCCTTTATGCAGATCTGTAAACAGTATGCTGAGGCCTTTGAAGCCCTGAGGTTGAACACTTTCCAACCCTCAGGATTCTTAAGATTCTCTAATTTTAGGTACCTGAGCTCAGTAAGAATTATAAAAACAGATACTAAGACCCATTTCCTCATAGTCAAAGATTCAGAGCACACTTAGTGAGTAAACAGGACATGTACAAAAACTGGTCTGAATACACAGGTGTGGTGGCATACGCCAGTAATCCCAGCAGTTTGGGAGGCTAAGGCAGGAGGATTGTGAGTTCAAAGATAGCCTCAGCAATTTAGTGAGGCCCTAAGCAACTCAGTGAGACCCTGTCTCTAAATAAAATGCAAAAAAGGGCTGAGGATGTGGCTCAGTGGTTAAGTGCCCATGATTCAATTCCTGATACAAAAAAAAAAAAAAAAGTCTGAATAAGTAAAATTTCACACAATCACATTTTTTTCGAATTTAAGAGTTGTTAAAGGTTTAGTCTAGGTAATATTTTTGCACATATATATAATGTCCAAAATATCCTAAGGGAAGAAAAACACAAGTCTTATAAAAAATCAGATAGGCAATGACCAAATACCTCAGATGTGCAATGACCACATACCTCACTTATCGATTATTTGAAGATCAAGGATATGGGGCAAGGAAAATTACTTATAATAATCCAATATGATAATGTCTATAAATAATTCATCTATTCCTTCCAATTTCATAAAGGTGAAGAATAAGATTTAAAATATGAAGTAGACATGAGATGAATTATTTATCTATGAAAATGGTTCTTCGGTTGTGTATCTTTAAATTGACAAGAAGAAAAAAGAAACTCAGTTATAAAATCTAAAAATTATAAATCACTGTATAGTAGTTGTAACCAATGTCCTTAAATAGAAAAGTGTCCATGGTGTCAAGATAATTAGTAATAATATTGCTATAGCTTGGATCTGGAATGTTCCTCAAAGGCTCCAGCCTGGCACTCCAGGGAGGTGGTAGAACTGTTAAGAAGTGGAATCTAGGCTGGGGCTGGGGCTCGGTGGTAGAAGGCTTGCTTAGCATGTGTGAGGCACTGGGTTCAAGTCTCAGCACCTCATATAAATAAATAAAACAAAAGTCCATCTGTCGCCAAAGGCTTTGTCCTTGTCCTTGATGCCAATGAGGACATGGTTTTGAGAAAAAGGAAAAAAGAAGGTTTATTGCTTTGCTAGCAAAGGAGAAACACAGGGGACTCCTGTCTCAAAGGCTGTGATTCTATCCATCAGCAGCAACAGGAGGCTTTTAAAGAGGTGATTCAGAGAAAATGGATTAGGGACGGGAGATCAGGGAGGAGAAGAGGGGAGGAGAGGTTAGGGAAAAGAAGATCAGAGAAGATCTGGGAAGAGATGATATAGTTAAAGCATCAAGTGACACATCAACAACTAAAAAAATATTAACAACCATAAAAAAGAAGTGGAACTTAGAAGGAAGAGGTTAGGTCATCAGGGAATATTGGGACCCCTTCCCTACTCTTCACTCCTTGGCTTCCCAGCCACCATGAGGTAAGTAGTTTTTCCCACCACACACTGCCCACAATGATATTCTGCCCCAAAGCAAAGAAACTTACTGACCATGGACTTAAACCTCCAGAACTGTGAACCAAAATAAAACTTTCCTGTTTCTAAGTTGATTATCTCAGGTATTTTGTTACAGTAATAGGAAGCTGGCTAACACAAACACTGAGAGTGATTTGGGGAAAAGTTAACACTTTATTTCTTCTTAAACTAAATTATTATTATTATTATTATTTTTGGATTGGAAATTGAACACAGGGGTGCTTAACCACTGGGCCACAACCAAAACCCTTTTTGTTTTTGAGACAGGGTCTCACAAAGTTGCTTAGGGTCTTGCTAAGTCATGATGGAGGCTGGCTTTGAACTTGTGATCCTCCTACTGCAGCCTTCTTAGTCACTGGGATTACAGGCATGCACCACCACACCCAGCATTGTTCTTAAACTAAATTATTCAAATCAGAAATATTATTTGGGGCTAAGGATGTTTCCATTCCCAGCATTGAAAAGAGAGACAGAGCTCAAGGAAATATTGTTCAATGAATATATACCAGAGTTTAGGGAAATTTTGGAACATGGAAACAAAGAAAGCACTGAGAAATTTATTACTCTACTAATATTAGAAGTAAAAGTTTTACTTAGATAGCAATTTACTTGCCTTGTTGTACCTTATGTCATCTTCACTAAGTCTACGCTGTTACAGTTCTACGTTAAATAACAAAAACAAACTAATTATATATTTTGCGTAATTGTTATGTTACAACAGTAAGCTAAGACTAATAATATAAATCCACCATCCACTGCCAACTACATTCTTATAGTGGGTGCTCAAGTACATAAAAATGTGAACAAAAAGGCTTTATATTTATCTTACAGAGGATATAAACATCAATTTATAAGGAAGAGACACAGGCCTTATTCAGTTAAAAGTAATATAATTAACATGATTACAAAAGCATTTATAATAAAGCAGCAGAAGTGTTTAGATCACTTGTAGCTCCATTCGGAGTTTATATAACCTTTTAAAACAATGTCAAAACAATAAAATATGAGGCAAATATCCAATTAATTTGTATTGCTCTAGCATTTATTTCCCCCAAACAACCTAGTCTTAATTCCTATGGCATACAGCATGGTTTGGGAAAGTAAGAAGCTGAAAATTGGTCATTTCTGAGTTCCAGTTGTGTGGCCTGTAGGTGACAAAAGTGACAGTGAAGCTAACAGGGAAATGCAGTCTTCCCCCACAGAACCCACTTTTCCTACAGTCTGTTATCACAGTCTTCAGAATCCAACCTCGCCCTCCCCATCTCCAGGTCTCCAGCTAAAATCTCCCAACTCAATCTAAACTATTTATTTTAAAGACTCCTAACTGATTTCCCTTCTTTTGCCTAGGTCCCCTGAAATTAATTCTCAGCAGTGAGCCTCTCTTCTCAAAGCTCTCCAGTGACATTCTTTTTTTTTTCTTTTTTTGAGAAAAAAAAAGAAAAAGAAGGTTTATTGCTTAGCTAGCAAAGGAGAAACAGGGAACTCCTGTCCCAAAGGCTGTGATTCTGCCCATCTGCAGGAACATGGGGCTTTTAAAGAGGTGACTCAAAGGCCACATTCCATGTGTTCTCTGTCTGGAGTTGTATTCACTTGTTAATTTGGGAGAGAATCATTTCTGAGATCTTCTGGTCCATCCCCAAAGTCTAGATTAGTTCGTTCCTCTGGTGGGAGTGTGCTCAGGGACAGAAGGGGAAGAGAGGAAATCCCCTGTCCCCAGAGATTAGGGAGGGGGAAAGATTAGGGAGGAGCTGGGAGAGGGGAAGAGAAAGAAACATGTTCATTTTGAAAATAAGGTGCATGGCAGAGCAGCAAGGGCTATATTCCAAGCATAAAGTGGACCTCTGTTACATTTCCCACTATCAATTTCTACAATCCATTTCTATGGAAAAATGGGCAAGGACATCTCCAAAGTGTTTCCTGCTGAAAGTGGGAGAAGTTGGGAGAAGTCACCCAAGTCCTTGTTCTCTCTTAGATGGGGCGGGGATAGCATCCAGCATCAGAGCAGTCCAGAGGTCCACAGCGGCAGATGGCAGGTGAGTGGCCAAGGCATACACAAGGCAGGGGTCATGGGTTCAGAGGTCTCAGTCCATAGAAGGCGGCTTCATTCCCTGGTGCTCCAGCAGGACGTCAGGGCAGAGGAGTGTGGCAGAGGGAAGCAGCTCACACGTTGATCAGGAAGCAGAGAGTGACATTCTGTCTTAGGGGAAAGTCGACATCCTCACGTTAGAGTCACACACAAACTACTGTCCATCATCTGTCTGCCCCTCGGCTACCCTGACCACTTTGCTCTTTATGAACAGCTCACTCCCACTTCAGGAATTTTGTAGTTGCTCTTCCCTTTACCTGGAAAGTTTTCTGTTTATTTGTTTTTGTTTTTTTTTATCAAGAGTCCATGTGGCTTATTCCTTTCACTTCCTTCCAGTTTTTGCTCCATGTCCACTTTTCAGCAAATTATTTCCTGAATATTTTATTACTTTTTTTTTTTTCTTTTCTCTTTTTGTACTAGGGGTTGAACTCAGGGGCACTTAACCACTGAGCCACATCTCCAGCCCGTTTTAAAATTTTTTGTTTTGAGACAAGGTCTAAGTTGCTTAGGGCCTTGCTAAATTGCTGAGGTTGGCTTTGAACTCACTACCCTCTGGCCTCATCCTCCAGAACTGCTGGGATTAGAGACATGCACCATCACACCAGTGTCTTTTTTCTTTTTTAAAGACAGCGTCTCATTACCTTGCCCAGTCTGCCCCCAAATGCTTGGGTTTAAGCAATCCTCCTGCTTCAGCTTTCTGAGTGCTGGGACTACAGACTACAGGCACGTGCCACCATGCCTCACTGAATACTCTATTTATAACTGCAAACTTTACACATTCCAATACTCCTCTACCTCCCTTCTTTAAACAAGTTTTATTTTTCTCTATAGAATCTACCACCATATAATTACTATATATTATACTTATTTTCTTTATTGACTTATTGTCCTCACTAGATTGTAAGTTCCATGAGGTTAGGGATGTTTGTGTTTTGTTCAAGGCTATATTTCCATGGTTAACACAGTGTTCAATGCTTGTTGAATGAATGTATACCATCTACAAATCCTTTAGTAACTAATAAGAACTAGATGTACACATATGTGGCCCAAAGACTTTTCTCTAAAACTGTAGAGAAAAATAACTTTAGCAGAGGTACAGTGGTAGATGCTGTAATCCTGTAACCCCCAGCTACTTGGGATGCTAAGGCAGGAGGATGGCAAATTGGAGGCCAGCATAAGCAATTTAGTAAGACCCTGTCTCAAAATAAAAGGGCTAGGATGTAGCTCAGTGGTAAAGTGTCCCTGGGTTCAATCCCCGGTGCCAAAAAAAGAGAAAGAAAAAAAAAAAAAAAGCAGCATTATATTAACCATTCACAGAAGAATTGGGCGATCATTCTCTTCACGTTTTGCTTATTTTAAGAACTGATGCCATCACTTAACTTTCAGAAAGATATAATTCCTAAATGCCTCCACAGAAGAAAGGTAAGGAATAAGAATAGAGATTATGACATCCTTTATTCTGCAGTCTTCTTCCAAAAGTTGACAAATTCCACACCCCTTCACCAAGAGTTAAAGACCAGATATAGCCTTTTTTTCCTCTAAGGAAATGATTTAACCAAAATTAAAGGAAGAATGTACAAGCTATTCCCAGGAACTCATGGATAGATAGAAGAAAGACCATGTCCTAAGAAATGTCACAGACAAATGACTCTGAACTTTACACCCTTTTGAGAATTCCTCACGAGTGCTAAACGAGGCACATTATCTCATTTATATTAACACAGTGCTCCCAGAAATTGAACAAGACATGTTAACATGTGGATATGAAACAGAAAAATTCCCACATACAAAACCACCAAACTCAGATTTGGGAACTGAAGTTTCCTAGTCCTTCATTTGAAAGACAGTGGTCTAGTGAGATTAGTTCTGAAACACATTCAGATATTAGTAAAATACACTATAAATCAGATTACCTGGTTCTCAATTTCAGTTTTCATTGTATCATGCTACTTTCTAAATATGAGTGTTTTGACCAGGAATCAAATCATTCTATGGCATCTGAGTTTAAATTACTATCCCACCAGGAAATTAAAAGTCAAATTTCCCAGTAATATTCCTAAAGTAAGTAGTGGAGGGTCAGAATGTTGTTACATACTTCAACAACAACTGAAAGTTAAAGGGGAAAAAACTCAAATTCACTATTATTCACATAATTGGGCCATGAACAGAGGAAAGAGTCATTTGCTGTAAAATTTACTAGGCATAAGCATGGATTCTGGTGTTCAAACCTCCAATTCAAGTCCCAGTTTTGTTACTTATCAGTGGAAACCATCTTGAACTAAGACACTATTTTCTTATTTTTTGTTGTTTTTGTCTTTAGAGACAGGGTCTTGCTATGTTACCTAAGCTGGTCCCAAATTCCTAGGTTCAAGGGATCCTTCTGCCTCAACCTGCCAAGTAGCTGGAATTAGCAGCAAGCACAACTGGGCCTCTTTTGTGTTCTTTTTGGTTTTTGTTTTGTTTTTGTGGTATTGGAGATTGAACCCAGGGGTATTCTACCACTGAGCTATATCCCCAGCCTTTAAAAAAAAATTGGGGGGCGGTACTAGGGATTCCCTAGTCCTTTATTTATTTTTTTATTTCAAGTCAGGGTCTTGCTTAGGGCCTTGCTAAATTGCTGAAGCCGGCCTCAAACTTATGCTCCTCCTGCCTCAGCCTCCTGAGTAGCTGGGATTGCCAGTATGTGCCACCATGCCTAGCTTCTTTTCTCATTTTTTTAAAAGCAGATAAAACATATTTCAAAACAATATGTTGTATTCAATAAACATGATTTTGTAAATTAAAAATTTAAAAATAAAAAGAGAATAAGAACACTATTCATTTCATAGAGCTGTTCTGAGAATAATGTACAGAAAGTTGTTGGCCCATGGCCTAACACACTGATATATTCATACTGACAGATACATTGTATGTTTCAATCAGTATTGCCATCAGACATGAATGGAAATTATCATTTTCGCACACTTCAAACTTTATAGATATTTATTAAACAAATCTTCCAAATTAGAATGCTTGTTGATTTGAAACCTATAGCAGTTACTTTTATCTAGTCTTTAAGAAATGAAAAAATTATATAGTAAATTCAAGCAATCATTCATACCCTGTAGTCCCAGCTACTTGGGAGTCTGAAACAGGAGGATCGCTTGAGCCCAGTTAACCACAAAGCTGGCAACCTAGCAAGACCTTGTTTCAGAAGAAAGACTGCAATAAACAAGCTTTTTATTATCTATTTCAGTTAAAAAAAATGCTTCCCTCTCTTTTTAAAAAAAAAAATATTTTTTAGTTATAGATGGGCACAATATCTTTATTTTATTTTTATGTGGTGCTGAGGATCGAACCCAGTGCTTCATGCACGCTAGGTGAGCCATGGCCCCAACCTGCTTCCCTCTCTTATTCATATAACCATTACTCAGTGGGACAGCACCCAGTTTTGAAGAACCCATTAGTTCTTGGTACCTTCTTGGTAGTTCAACACCGCCCTCTGCCGGACTGCTGAAAAATTCCAAAGCCAAATTAAATAATAAAAATTGTTGTTTTCTCAAGTAAATTCTAAACAGTTCTATGGAATTGATCTTTTCTTTAATCACTGCTAGAAGACAGGGAAAAAAGCAAATATTATGTCCTTTCTTAGAAGACCACCAGAATGGTCAAATCTACCCTCCTCTGTAATTTACCCGGGAAAGAGGATTCATATTTCTCTTATGTCATCCAATAAATTTACTGGTATGAACCACCTAGGTAAGTTTACCGCCTCTTTGTTCATTCTGCCCGTGTAAAACTACACTTTGTTTAACATGCCAGTGTAGCAGTTTGCCCAGTAACAACATTAAATATTTACTGGGTATCCTCTACGTGCAGGACACTGTACTAGGTAAAAAGGACAGGAAAAAACCTTCCCTGTCCTTAAGGAGATGATAATCTAGTTTCCAAAACGGGATGTGTAAAGAGGATGTGTACAAAGAAACATTCAGTAAAAGGCCCACTGAAGAAGCGTGCTTCTCTAAATTTGCTGCTTTGTGGCACCTTGGGAAAGTTACTCAGTTTCTCTGAACCTCAGTGTATCTGTAGTATGGCAATAACACCCAGCTCAAAACAAAATTTGCAAAGGCTATTTGAAATATTTGTAAAGGTCTCAACAAAAGATGGCTGTTATTTATTATGACCCTTATGAGAAAAATCTTGAATAATAATGTCCTACATTATAAATTTCAAACATACCTCAACATTATAAAAGCTATATATGCTAAACCCAAGGCTAACATCTTATAAATGGAGAAAATTTGAAAGCATTCCCTCTAAAAACTGGAACAAGACAAGGATGCCCTCTTTCACCACTTCAACAATGTCCTTGAAACTCTAGCCAGAGCAATTAGACAGAAGAAAGAAATTGAAGGGATATGAATAGGAAAAGAAGAACTCAAATTATCACTATTTGCCAATGACATAATTCTATAGCTAGAAGATCCAAAAAATTCCATCAGAAAACTCCTAGAATAAACGAATTCAGCAAATTAGCAGGATAAAAAATCAACACCCATAAATCAAATATGTTCCTATACATCAGTGATGAATCCACTGAAAAAGAATTAGGAAAAATACCCTATTTACAATATTCTCAACTAAAGTAAAATATTTGGGAATCAACCTAACAAAAGAGGTGAATGACCACTACAATGAAAACTAAAGAAAGAAATTGAAGAAGATCTTAGAATATGAAAAAATCTCCCATGCTCCTGGATAGGTAGAATTACTCTTGTCAAAATGGCCATAGTACCAAAAGCATTATACAGATTTAATGCAATTCCTATTAAAATCTCAATGACATTCTTCATAGAACTAGATGAAGCAACCATTAAATTCATTTGAAGACATAAGAGGCCCAGAATAGCCAAAGCAATCCTTAGCACGAAGAGTAAAACAGGAGGCATCATAATACCAGACCTTAAATTATACAACAGAGCATAGTATTGGCACCAAAACAGAAGACCAATGGTACAGAATAGAAGACACAGAGACAAACCCACATAAATACAGTTATCTCATACTAGCCAAAGGCACCAAAAACATAGAGAAGACAGTCTCTTCAACAAATGGTGCTGGGAAAACTGGAA